CTACTGATCTGCAGTCAGCCGCTCTACCACTGAGCTACACACCCATGCACACAATTTGACTAGTCCTCTATTTGACGTATTTTCATTCAAAATTTCACTCTTCACTGTGTCGTTTACAGCCAGCTCAATCGAGTCGTCCTCTAATGATTCTTACTAAACTTATCTACCCTACCCGAGGATCGAACTCGGAATCTCCACCTTAGGAGGGTGGCGCCTGATCCATTGGGCCAGCAGGGCGATGATTCAGCTTCCGATCATGTTGATGTCTGTGACTGTTCCGCCGATTACATGAGTGATTACTCTACCTCTCAAAAATTCCTTGATGAAAATTTTGCGAAAGTTCATAGGGCACGCCCGGATTTGAACCGAGGACCTGCTGATCTGCAGTTAGCCGCTCTACCACTGAGCTACACACCCATGCACACAATTTGACTAGTCCTCTATTTGACCTATTTTCATTCAAAATTGCACTCCTCACTGTGTCGTTTACAGCCAGCTCAATCGAGTCGTCTTCTAATGATTCTCAGTAAACTTATCTACCCTACCCGAGGATCGAACTCGGAATCTCCACCTTAGGAGGGTGGCGCCTTATCCATTGGGCCAGCAGGGCGATGATTCAACTTCCGATCATGTTGATGTCTGTGACTGTTTCGCCGATTACATGAGTGATTACTCTACCCCTCGAAAATTCCTTGATGGAAATTTTGCAAAGGTTCAAAGGGCACGCCTGGATTTGAACCGAGGACCTACTGATCTGCAGTCAGCCGCTCTACCACTGAGCTACACACCCATACACAAATTCGACTAGTCCTCCATTTGACCTATTTTCATTCAAAATTTCACTCCTCACTGTGTCGTTTACAGCCAGCTCAATCGAGTCGTCTTCTAATGATTCTCAGTAAACTTATCTACCCTACCCGAGGATCGAACTCGGAATCTTCACCTTAGGAGGGTGGCGCCTTATCCATTGGGCCAGCAGGGCGATGATTCAACTTCCGATCATGTTGATGTCTGTGACTGTTTCGCCGATTACATGAGTGATTACTCTACCTCTCGAAAATTCCTTGATGGAAATTTTGCAAAGGTTCAAAGGGCACGCCCGGATTTGAACCGAGGACCTGCTGATCTGCAGTCAGCCGCTCCACCACTGAGCTACACACCCATATACGCAATTGGACTAGTCCTCCATTTGACCTATTTTCATTCAAAATTGCACTCCTCACTGTGTCGTTTACAGCCAGCTCAATCGAGTCGTCTTCTAATGATTCTCAGTAAACTTATCTACCCTACCCGAGGATCGAACTCGGAATCTCCACCTTAGGAGGGTGGCGCCTTATCCATTGGGCCAGCAGGGCGATGATTCAACTTCCGATCATGTTGATGTCTGTGACTGTTTCGCCGATTACATGAGTGATTACTCTACCCCTCGAAAATTCCTTGATGGAAATTTTGCAAAGGTTCAAAGGGCACTCCCGGATTTGAACCGAGGACCTGCTGATCTGCAGTCAGCCGCTCTACCACTGAGCTACACACCCATGCACACAATTTGACTAGTCCTCTATTCGACCTATTTTCATTCAAAATTTCACTCTCCACTGTGTCGTTTACAGCCAGCTCAATCGAGTCGTCCTCTAATGATTCTTACTAAGCTTATCTACCCTACCCGATGATCGAACTCGGAATCTCCACCTTAGGAGGGTGGCGCCTTATCCATTGGGCCAGCAGGGCGATGATTCAACTTCCGATCATGTTGATGTCTGTGACTGTTCCGCCGATTACATGAGTGATTACTCTACCTCTCAAAAATTCCTTGATGAAAATCAAGGAATTGCGAAAGTTCATAGGGCACGCCTGGATTTGAACCGAGGACCTACTGATCTGCAGTCAGCCGCTCTACCACTGAGCTACACACCCATACACAAATTTGACTATTCCTCCATTTGACCTATTTTCATTCAAAATTTCACTCTTCACTGTGTCGTTTACAGCCAGCTCAATCGAGTCGTCTTCTAATGATTCTCAGTAAACTTACCTACCCTACCCGAGGATCGAACTCGGAATCTCCACCTTAGGAGGGTGGCGCCTTATCCATTGGGCCAGCAGGGCGATGATTCAACTTCCGATCATGTTGATGTCTGTGACTGTTTCGCCGATTACATGAGTGATTACTCTACCCCTCGAAAATTCCTTGATGGAAATTTTGCGAAGGTTCAAAGGGCACGCCCGGATTTGAACCCGAGGACCTGCTGATCTGCAGTCACCCGCTCTACCACTGACCTACACACCCATGCACACAATTTGACTAGTCCTCTATTTGACCTATTTTCATTCAAAATTTCACTCTTCACTGTGTCGTTTACAGCCAGCTCAATCAAGTCGTCCTCTAATGATTCTTACTAAACTTATCTACCCTACCCAAGGATCGAACTCGGAATCTCCACCTTAGGAGGGTGGCGCCTTATCCATTGGGCCAGCAGGGCGATGATTCAACTTCCAATCATGTTGATGTCTGTGACTGTTTCGCCAATTACATGATTGATTACTCTACTCCTCAAAAATTCCTTGATGGAAATTTTGCGAAGGTTCAAAGGGCACGCCCGGATTTGAACCGAGGACCTGCTGATTTGCAGTCAGCCGCTCTACCACTGAGCTACACACCCATGCACACAATT